TTTTTTATGGTACTTTATTAAAAATGAAGTAGTTTTGAATGTTTTTCTATCTAACTTTTTTTTTCCTTGTAAATCCAGCTAATAAACTCCAATTATGCAAATAATTAGCTAAAAATATTTTAAAACTATATTATTTTAATAAATTTACACTAAAAAAATGAAAATTCCTAATTTTAAAAGCAAAGTTGGGACTATTTAATCTTTTTTATGGTACTTTATTAAAAATGAAGTAGTTTTGAATGTTTTTCTATCTAACTTTTTTTTTCCTTGTAAATCCAGCTAATAAACTCCAATTAATATACATAGCTTTTTAAATTTTTTTATATTATCCCCTTATTTATTTTAAATTTTAAATATTATTAGTAGATTTTTAATTTAGTACAATAATATTATAGTAATTATAACATGACATTAAATTAATATGATGTATAAATACATATAATATCATAGATAAACTTTAAAAAAAAATAAATTAATTAATTATATGACATATCATATTTTAAAATTATAATATCGCCTACTAATATATATATATATATATATATAAGTATATGACTTTTGAATTTAGTACTGCATACTCTAGACGCCGGCCATCAGTTTCCTTATACAGGCCCAGTTTTTTCAAGTCTTCAATGGCCTCCTTAATTAGGAAAGACTGCAACTAAAGTCAAGGACATTCGCCAGGATTGACTCAACCTTGCCCGTTCAACACTTTCAAAGAAATTATTAATTGTTATTAGTATTTTCTTTCCTCTATAAATTAATAGCTAGCAAAATCTGAAATCACACAACCAAAGCAAAAACATCTCCACATTCAAGCCAATTTATCATGGCTGCCGGAGCTCGTTCACTTTTCTCCTTCTTCTTCCTCCCCCTCCTCCTCTTGCTGTCTCCAGCAGTTTTTGCCGATGACCACTCGAAACACAAAAATTCATCATCACCATTTGATTTCCTCAAGCATCTTCAAGGTTGTCACAAGGGTGACAAAATCAAGGGCATCAATGATCTCAAAAAGTACCTGGAACATTTCGGTTACTTGAGCTACAACTATTCCCATGCCAACGACGACGATTTCGACGATATCCTGGAGTCTGCCCTCAAGACCTACCAGATCAATTACCATATCAAGGCCACCGGAGTTCTAGATGCTGCAACAGTGTCGAAGATGGCGATGCCTCGATGTGGGGTGGCAGATATCATCAACGGAACCAGTAGGATGCGGTCTGCCAAGAAAAGGCATCACCACGGCCCTGGTTCCAGTCCTTTTCACACCGTCTCACACTATTCCTTCTTCGAAGGAAACCCCCGGTGGCCGCCTTCCAAGTACCACCTCACCTACGCGTTACGACCGGGGACCCGAGCTGATGCCATAGAACCCGTCGTGAGAGCGTTTAGGACTTGGGCTGCTAACACGCACTTTACCTTTACGCAGACTCAGGACTATCAAAATGCGGATTTAAAGGTCAGTTTTGCACGCCGTGATCATGGAGATGGGTACCCATTCGATGGCCCTCGTGGGACTCTAGCTCATGCATTTGCACCGACTAACGGGCGGTTCCACTACGACGCGGATGAGTCATGGTCAGTGAGTGTTGCCCAAGATGCATTCCACTTGGAGACAGTGGCGTTGCATGAGATCGGACACCTTTTGGGGCTGGATCATAGCTCCGTTGAAGGAGCCATCATGTACGCCACCATTCCTGCAGGAGTGTCCAGGGGCTTGCATCAAGATGATATTCAAGGGATCAGGGCTTTATACAACAACTGAGGAATATTAGTGTGTGTGTGTGTGTGGGTTTTATTTTATTTTTTTTTATTTTTAATTTCTTTTTTTGAATAAGGGAGAAAGGATACATGTGATCTTATCTATAATCATACAATAAGTGAAATCAGTATGTGAGAATTACTATATTGACTAGGGCAAAGTTACTGAGGCATGTGGAAAAGAAGTTTGAGAGGGAAAACATTGAGTCAAACCTCTTGTCATAGTGACAATTTTTTTTTTT